CATTATCTACACAGAGATTTCAACTGAGGCGACAAAGGCCCGAGAGGGGCCTCCACTGCCCCACCAGCTGCCACTGGGGTGGAGAGAGTGGTGACTAGACAAAGGTGGGTGTGGCAGCAAGTGTGCGTGTCCCCTGTGCCAGCACCGTGCCCTACACGCAGCCTCATGTGACCTCCTCCCAACGTGAACTGAATGTTCTTACCCTCACTTTACACATGGAGGGACTGAAGCACAGAAAGGGGGAAGAGGAATTTGCCAAAGGTCCCAGGTTTGGAGTGTCAAGGCCAGGACTGGCCTGACTCCGGCACCTGGCTCCCTGACCACTGCTCCTGTCTGCCTCCCCTGTTCTTTGAGGCTCAGCAAGGGACCTGTTCTTTGAGGCTCCTCCTTTGGGGATTGTTTCTGCATCTGCCATCAGCTAGATGGGTGGGAAATGGGATTCAGTGGATTAAGTGCCAGCCACCAAGAGCCATGCTGATTTCCAAAGGGACCCTTCACAATGGCCCTCACACTATTTCCTGTGTTGAAATAGCGTCTTCACATCCGGCCGGGGAACTCCCAGAGGTCTGGGGCCATGTCTGGCGGGTGGTGCATAGCAGGATCTCAGGACAAGACTCGAATGAGAGTCTGACCAGCTCTGGAAGCAGGAGTCTGTGCCCCCAGCCCGATTCTCATGCAAACCTACTCACTCTTAGGCCTCTCACCACCCCCTCGCTCTCCAAAACGCTCTTCACCTTGGTTGTTTTCTTTTGCTTCTTAAAATTGTGGGGGTTTTTTTCTTTTTTATGCCATTCTTTCAGCAATGAATGTACTTTATGTCTGGAAATAATTTGAAAAGCATTTATTCTTTTCCAATGTATTTACTAAGTGCTTAGGAGTTCTTTCTGCTCATTATTTGTCCTTCAACAATTTTTTCATGTCCTTTAACTTGTGTAAAAAAAATACTCATTTCAACATTTAAAAACCAGAATCTTTGCTGGCAATAAGATCCCAGATAAAATGAATCATGTGGGTTGTTTTTCTTTTTTCTTGGTTTAACCAGTAAATTGTTTCTCCCCTTCGCTTGTCACACAAATGCTCACTTGTGCTGCCTGCAGTGGAGTTCAGATGAACACAACGGCGTGAGCCTCGTTATGAACTTGCTATTGCCAACATTAACAATTGAGTTGGTCATGTAATTTTAGGGATGGGAAGAATATTTCAAAGATGAGATCAGCAGCAAGGTCCATCTAGAAGGCTAAATGGAAGTTAACAGATATGCCTGCATAAAAAGTTCGGAACTTCTCCATGTTATAAAGCTTCTTAAATCCCACATCCCAAAAATAGGAGGCTGAGAGAGATCAGAGAAAGCAGAGAGGAGGCTGACAAATGTGATGAAAAACTCTCAGAACCGAAGCCCATAGGCTTCTCGATTGAGCTGACCGGCATCCAGCGGAATGGACTAAAAAAGAAAGACTCACACCAAGACACAGCATCTTTATGTACCAGAACGACTGGGTGCTAGAATAAATTGTTTCTAGAGTTTCCAGAGAATGGGGAGAAATTGTCACAAACACTCCGAATCAGAATGGCTCCAGAATTCTCTCCAGCAACCTTACAAGCTAGAAGCCGACAGAGCAATGCCTTCAAAATCCTAAGGAAAATGGTTTTCAACATAGACTTCAATTCTCAGGCTGTTGATCAAGCATGAGGCTAGAATAAGGTCATTTTAAGACATGCAAGGTCTTGTAACATTTACCTCCATGCCTCCTTACAGGCTGTGCTCCACCAAAATGAGAAGGTGAGCTGCAAAACAGAAAGACCTGGGGACTAAGAAACCAGTGATCCAACACAAGGGAGTATGGGGGTCCCCAGGGTAACAGCAAAGGAAAATGCCAGAACCACAGCCGTTCAGTGGGCTGAGAGGGCTGCCAGTTCGCACGGGAGCAGGAAGTCAGGGGCCCCTGAGGGAGGTCTCAAAAGAAATGAACAAAACTCAGAGACAGAGGAGCCACAGAGGCTCAATCACGGACCGTCTGAATGGCCAATTCAACACCTAGTGGCAAAGATTGGCCCCTGGGTCTGCTTGGGGCTGGGTTCAGGGTCAGAGACATTCTCACGGTGAGCTCCACAAAGCGATAGAGTGGGTGACAGGCAACTTGCTCCACCCCTCTGAGTCTCCTGTCCTTAGTGAAAAAGATGTTAAAACAATGCCCATACTATGCAGATTAAATGAGGATGTAGGTGAGAGCACTTGGTAGACTTCTAGCAACCTCTGCCATCCCAACTCACCAAAACATCACCATTGCTGTTGTCTAACCTCGTCCCACTGAAATCCACACATTGAAGTCCTCACCCCCAAAGCTGATGACGTTAGGAAGTGGGACCTTGGGGAGGCAATTAGATTATGAGGGCAGAGCCCCCCTCCCCATGAAATGGGCCTTAATATAATGGGGCCCAGAGAGAGCCCCTGCCCCTTCCCCTGAGAGAGGAAGTGTGCCCAGAAGAGGGCCCTCACCGGGCCCTGCCGGCAGCCTGCTCTCAGACTTCTCACCTCCAGAACCATGAGAAACAAATTTCCATTGTTTATAAGCCCCCTGAGTCTGTGGCATTGCGTTTAAGCAGCCTGAATGGACTAAGACTGCATCCTATTACCATCCAGTTTGTGGGTGAGCAAAGTGGAGATAAAGCCCCCCATGTGAGGTCACCCAGGTACTGGCAGAGCAGGACTTGGAAGCAGAGCTGTCTGCCCCCACGTGCCAGGCTCCAGCCTTACTCTGTTCCCTGGCAGCAGACACCAGGACTTAGAGAAAACACAGACGGTGCAGAAACATTTGAGCAATGTACGTCCTTGCCAGAAATTAAAAGAATGTAGATCCAAGCAACCATGGAGCACTTCTCACCTGTCAAATTTGTGAAGATGTTTGTTCTTTCGCTATTGAATTTGCATTTGTATCAGTGCAACACATGTTCCTGGTTTAAAAGCTTCAAATGATACTGCCGATGTATTTGCTGAAACCTGCTGACCCTGCCTGGCTGACATGGCCGCACCCACACAAGCCCGGCACCTCTGGGAGGAGGGCCCCTGAGTCGGGCCAGGCCCCCGTGCAGCCGCCGGCTATTCAAGCTCTCTGCCCTCTGCAATCCTCCGGGTCCATGCTGGCTGGTTTTCTGTGATCTTCCTGGTGCAGCAAAGTAGGGGCTGAGCAGCCCAACGTGACCACTGCCGCCACCTGCAGTCTCACTGAGGGAAGACTGTCCCAAAGGGGAGCCCGGCCCTGGCGATGCGCTTTGCAGAAAACTGCCAGTGAAGTGCTGTTTGCGCTGTAGTGACAAGAGTAAAGAGATTTGCTTTGGGAAAGAAAAATACACGTGTCCCCAGCCTGGGATGTTTCCCACCCATAACTGCCTCTCTTGGGAGGACCCCCTGCACGTGCAGATTCTCAGAGCTGTCATCGAGCACCAGAGGGAAAAGGACAGGCTTTGCAGAGGGGGTTGTGTCCAGCTCCTGGTCTGGCTGGGGGATGTGCTATGTGCTCGGCCAAGGAGAGACGCCAGCCTCGTGCTGGCCCCGCTCCCGCTCCAACCGCCCTCTGGGACTCTCCCAGGCTCTGCCCTGTGAAGCCACTTTCCTGTGCTTGTCTGTCATCGCCCGCCCCTCCCTGCTCTGGCCTTTCTGGAGGCACACAGGTCTGGAACGGCCCTTCACAGCCCCCAGCCCCCACATGACCTCCACCCCCAGCACTGTCCCCGCATCCCTCATTCAGCTTGGCTGTCCCTGTCTGAGCCCCCACAGCCTGCGACTGGAGGCAGGAGGAGCCCCGACCGCAGTTTCCACCTGTCTGTCGGCAGCCCGCGGCTCAGGTGTCCAGGGGCAGCCCAGGAACGGAAGGGCTGGGGACGGGGATACTTTCCCGAGAGGACTGGGAGCCCCCAGGACTCCAGCTCAGAAACAGGAGCTTATTAATTAGAACCTGATGGCAATGGTCATTTATAACATCACTGTGTCTAAAGAGTACAAAGCTACACTAACAACTCCACAGAGGGGACACCAACCAGGGGGTGGGAGATGAAGCCCTTCATCCTGGAGTCCACCTGGTGAATGGCCTCCGCTCTGCTTTGCTGTGTGGCCTTCAGCAAGTCGCTTTGCTTCTCGGAGCCCAGTTTCTCCACCTATAAAATGAGGGGGTCAGTAATTCCACAGTTAATTTTTGCCCCTTCTGTGTTCTTTTCTAGCCACTCTTCACACGAAAACTGTTTTTAGGGTCATTTTTTGCCACTAAACAGAGGTCCTATGAATCTCCACGGTCAGTCTAACTCCCTGCCCTTGCGAATTGTTTCCTTTATGGAGGTGGGGTGAATTCTGCTGGCCCTTGTGGAGAGTGTCATGTTGCTGGCCCAGAAGAGAATGGTGGGTCCTAAGGAGATTTAGGTGGAGCCACGCACCGGGAGGCACTGACTGGGACCCCAGCTCTTCGTGGCACTGTTGAGGCTTCCCTTGGAACTGCCCATGTGGACGCAGGACCAGTTGAGAGTGCATTCATCGGGGTCCTGGTCCCAGCACTGAGGGCACAGTAGGGGTTGGCACAGGGCACTCTGAGAAGGCCATCTGGAGGAGTGAGTAGTCAACAGATACAGAAGAGAGGACAGGAGGGAAACACATGCACAGAAACAGAAAAACTGAGATTCCTGAGAGAAACAGCAAACGCAAAGCTTGCACAGCAGGAAAAGCAATGAGCTGGTGTTTATTGAACACTGAACGGGGTGGGAGGTAGGCAGGACGGCGCTGTGTGTATTACATTTGACCCTAAAGGGGTTTTGGATGGGTGTCGTGTTCACACTGTAAGAAGACACTTGGGCTCCCAGTGGATAAGGTCACACTGGGTAACCGGGTTTCAACCTGCAGCTGCCGCTTCCAGAGCCTGGACCCTAGTCAGTTGGCTCATCTGCCAGGAGCCAAGAAGGGGGTAAGGAAGGCAAATGAGGCATGTGTCCTGCACAGAGAGGCAGGCCCAGGGCCAGGCGCCTGCAGGAATCTGGGCTCTGAGTGCTCTGGGTGATAGAGGCGGGGCTGGGCATCCGGCTCTGCAGGGCAAGAGGCCGGCTGCCAGATGAGTCACAAGCACTCCTGGTTCTGTCCTTCATCCCTCACATCCCAGCCCCCTCAGCGGCCTGGGCAGGAGAGGCACGAGGGGCCCTTGACCCTGAAGCCCCTCCAAGTGGGTGAGGGTGCCAGCAGGGGTGGTGAGAAGGTGGCTGCCCTCTACCTCCCTGACAGAGCCTGGAGCCTCGACTGTGGCTCCTGTTGACCCTGTGGGTCAGCCCCGTGCTCCTAGCTAGTTACAGGACAGCCAGGCAGGCTCCGGGCACTCCTGGGCTGTGTCCCTTGAGCAGGTCACCTGGCCTCCTTGGGTCTCAACCTCCCTGCCCATGGGGAGACTGCTCATAGCAGCCTTAGCAGCAGGTCACTGTTCTCTGTGGACAAGACCACTTGTTAGCTCACGTTTGCTCTCCAGCCATGGGGACCAGTTCTGTATGCAGCAAACACTTCTTGAAGGCTGACTGTGTGCCAGGCCCTGTGCCTCTCCAGGAACAAGAATACACACACTCAAAGAGATTGTCAGGCTGGATTTAAAAACTAACTCCACAACCCAGTTTTATTCTGTTTACACAAACACCTACACATAAGGGCACAAATAGGTTGGAAGCAAAAAGGATGGGATGGCATACCAAGCCAATACGAATCCTGGCAAACATGAACGGCTGCACCATTACTTGGGTGTAGCATTGCTAACATCAGCCTCAAATTATATAATGCAAATGCTGATGGACTCACTCACAGGGGAGAGACAGATAAATCCATGAGTATGGTAGGTTTTTAACACACCTCTCTCAGTAATGGACAGTTCAACAGATGAAAACAATCAGGGTGTAGAAAATGTCAACAATACAATTAACAAGCTTAACCAAATGGTAAGTATAAAACTCTGCACCTAACAGAGACACATTCTTTCCAAATGCTCGTGGAAACTTTCAGAAAACTGAACTAGCCATGGCCCAGCCACAGAGCAACTTTCAACGACCCTGATAGATGCCTGTCATACAGATCCAGCACCCCACAAGCGGGAAGTCGGTCACAACAAAACCCTGGACATTTAAGGAAAGTTTCTAGATAACGTAAAAACTAAATCATAATGGGAATAGGCAAACATTCAAAACTGAATAATGAGAACACTAAGAGCTGACCTTTACTGAGCATCTGCTGTGTGCCAGGCCCATTCAAGGTGTCCTGGTATCACAACGTGCCCATTTCCCAGAGGAGAAAAGTGAGGCACGGGGCGGTTGGATAGGTTGTGCAATGTTCACGAAAGGCAGGGCTGCGAGTCCAAGCTGGCCTGGGGTTCGAGTTCTTCCCTGCATGTCAAATCCACGCTGCCGGCCGACGTGACCGCGTGGCCTCCCCTCCGTAGGCAGGACTAGCACGCAGGCCTCCCTCCCCCGGACGCGGCGGCCCCAGGCCTCGCCCCGCGTCCCTGGGGATCCGCGGGAGCGCGTCTCCCACAGACTTCGTGCGGAGTCCCGGGCCTGCCTGCCTTCCCAAGCTCACGCGGTGCCCGCCCAGGTCCGCTCCCAGCCCCATCTTAGGTGCAGCAAAGTAGGGGCTGAGCAGCCCAACGTGACCACTGCCGCCACCTGCAGTCTCACTGAGGGAAGACTGTCCCAAAGGGGAGCCCGGCCCTGGCGATGCGCTTTGCAGAAAACTGCCAGTGAAGTGCTGTTTGCGCTGTAGTGACAAGAGTAAAGAGATTTGCTTTGGGAAAGAAAAATACACGTGTCCCCAGCCTGGGATGTTTCCCACCCATAACTGCCTCTCTTGGGAGGACCCCCTGCACGTGCAGATTCTCAGAGCTGTCATCGAGCACCAGAGGGAAAAGGACAGGCTTTGCAGAGGGGGTTGTGTCCAGCTCCTGGTCTGGCTGGGGGATGTGCTATGTGCTCGGCCAAGGAGAGACGCCAGCCTCGTGCTGGCCCCGCTCCCGCTCCAACCGCCCTCTGGGACTCTCCCAGGCTCTGCCCTGTGAAGCCACTTTCCTGTGCTTGTCTGTCATCGCCCGCCCCTCCCTGCTCTGGCCTTTCTGGAGGCACACAGGTCTGGAACGGCCCTTCACAGCCCCCAGCCCCCACATGACCTCCACCCCCAGCACTGTCCCCGCATCCCTCATTCAGCTTGGCTGTCCCTGTCTGAGCCCCCACAGCCTGCGACTGGAGGCAGGAGGAGCCCCGACCGCAGTTTCCACCTGTCTGTCGGCAGCCCGCGGCTCAGGTGTCCAGGGGCAGCCCAGGAACGGAAGGGCTGGGGACGGGGATACTTTCCCGAGAGGACTGGGAGCCCCCAGGACTCCAGCTCAGAAACAGGAGCTTATTAATTAGAACCTGATGGCAATGGTCATTTATAACATCACTGTGTCTAAAGAGTACAAAGCTACACTAACAACTCCACAGAGGGGACACCAACCAGGGGGTGGGAGATGAAGCCCTTCATCCTGGAGTCCACCTGGTGAATGGCCTCCGCTCTGCTTTGCTGTGTGGCCTTCAGCAAGTCGCTTTGCTTCTCGGAGCCCAGTTTCTCCACCTATAAAATGAGGGGGTCAGTAATTCCACAGTTAATTTTTGCCCCTTCTGTGTTCTTTTCTAGCCACTCTTCACACGAAAACTGTTTTTAGGGTCATTTTTTGCCACTAAACAGAGGTCCTATGAATCTCCACGGTCAGTCTAACTCCCTGCCCTTGCGAATTGTTTCCTTTATGGAGGTGGGGTGAATTCTGCTGGCCCTTGTGGAGAGTGTCATGTTGCTGGCCCAGAAGAGAATGGTGGGTCCTAAGGAGATTTAGGTGGAGCCACGCACCGGGAGGCACTGACTGGGACCCCAGCTCTTCGTGGCACTGTTGAGGCTTCCCTTGGAACTGCCCATGTGGACGCAGGACCAGTTGAGAGTGCATTCATCGGGGTCCTGGTCCCAGCACTGAGGGCACAGTAGGGGTTGGCACAGGGCACTCTGAGAAGGCCATCTGGAGGAGTGAGTAGTCAACAGATACAGAAGAGAGGACAGGAGGGAAACACATGCACAGAAACAGAAAAACTGAGATTCCTGAGAGAAACAGCAAACGCAAAGCTTGCACAGCAGGAAAAGCAATGAGCTGGTGTTTATTGAACACTGAACGGGGTGGGAGGTAGGCAGGACGGCGCTGTGTGTATTACATTTGACCCTAAAGGGGTTTTGGATGGGTGTCGTGTTCACACTGTAAGAAGACACTTGGGCTCCCAGTGGATAAGGTCACACTGGGTAACCGGGTTTCAACCTGCAGCTGCCGCTTCCAGAGCCTGGACCCTAGTCAGTTGGCTCATCTGCCAGGAGCCAAGAAGGGGGTAAGGAAGGCAAATGAGGCATGTGTCCTGCACAGAGAGGCAGGCCCAGGGCCAGGCGCCTGCAGGAATCTGGGCTCTGAGTGCTCTGGGTGATAGAGGCGGGGCTGGGCATCCGGCTCTGCAGGGCAAGAGGCCGGCTGCCAGATGAGTCACAAGCACTCCTGGTTCTGTCCTTCATCCCTCACATCCCAGCCCCCTCAGCGGCCTGGGCAGGAGAGGCACGAGGGGCCCTTGACCCTGAAGCCCCTCCAAGTGGGTGAGGGTGCCAGCAGGGGTGGTGAGAAGGTGGCTGCCCTCTACCTCCCTGACAGAGCCTGGAGCCTCGACTGTGGCTCCTGTTGACCCTGTGGGTCAGCCCCGTGCTCCTAGCTAGTTACAGGACAGCCAGGCAGGCTCCGGGCACTCCTGGGCTGTGTCCCTTGAGCAGGTCACCTGGCCTCCTTGGGTCTCAACCTCCCTGCCCATGGGGAGACTGCTCATAGCAGCCTTAGCAGCAGGTCACTGTTCTCTGTGGACAAGACCACTTGTTAGCTCACGTTTGCTCTCCAGCCATGGGGACCAGTTCTGTATGCAGCAAACACTTCTTGAAGGCTGACTGTGTGCCAGGCCCTGTGCCTCTCCAGGAACAAGAATACACACACTCAAAGAGATTGTCAGGCTGGATTTAAAAACTAACTCCACAACCCAGTTTTATTCTGTTTACACAAACACCTACACATAAGGGCACAAATAGGTTGGAAGCAAAAAGGATGGGATGGCATACCAAGCCAATACGAATCCTGGCAAACATGAACGGCTGCACCATTACTTGGGTGTAGCATTGCTAACATCAGCCTCAAATTATATAATGCAAATGCTGATGGACTCACTCACAGGGGAGAGACAGATAAATCCATGAGTATGGTAGGTTTTTAACACACCTCTCTCAGTAATGGACAGTTCAACAGATGAAAACAATCAGGGTGTAGAAAATGTCAACAATACAATTAACAAGCTTAACCAAATGGTAAGTATAAAACTCTGCACCTAACAGAGACACATTCTTTCCAAATGCTCGTGGAAACTTTCAGAAAACTGAACTAGCCATGGCCCAGCCACAGAGCAACTTTCAACGACCCTGATAGATGCCTGTCATACAGATCCAGCACCCCACAAGCGGGAAGTCGGTCACAACAAAACCCTGGACATTTAAGGAAAGTTTCTAGATAACGTAAAAACTAAATCATAATGGGAATAGGCAAACATTCAAAACTGAATAATGAGAACACTAAGAGCTGACCTTTACTGAGCATCTGCTGTGTGCCAGGCCCATTCAAGGTGTCCTGGTATCACAACGTGCCCATTTCCCAGAGGAGAAAAGTGAGGCACGGGGCGGTTGGATAGGTTGTGCAATGTTCACGAAAGGCAGGGCTGCGAGTCCAAGCTGGCCTGGGGTTCGAGTTCTTCCCTGCATGTCAAATCCACGCTGCCGGCCGACGTGACCGCGTGGCCTCCCCTCCGTAGGCAGGACTAGCACGCAGGCCTCCCTCCCCGGGACGCGGCGGCCCCAGGCCTCGCCCCGCGTCCCTGGGGATCCGCGGGAGCGCGTCTCCCACAGACTTCGTGCGGAGTCCCGGGCCTGCCTGCCTTCCCAAGCTCACGCGGTGCCCGCCCAGGTCCGCTCCCAGCCCCATCTTTCCCGGTTGGAATCCCAGCCGTGACAACGAGGCCCAGCTCCGGGGGCGCCTCTGTAGGCCTCCCCACCCCGCGTGGGAGCTCCCCCGCGCCGCAGATGCAGAGCCGGTCCTGCCGCGTCTCCGCCACGAACGCCTCTTGGGGCCCTGCCGCCCGGCAGCGTCCTCCATGCCCCTCCGCGGGAGCGCCCGGCATCCGGCTGGGAGCGGGCGCTCTCTGAACCCCCTTCTTTCACCTTCACGCTCCATCCATCCTGCGCTCTGCTCTGCACCACATCCATGTTCACTTCCCGGTCAACCCCACCCTCCAGCTGACACTCCCCGAGACCGGCGCGGGCAGCAGGCGCTGCAAAGGAAAGCGGGCGCCTTGTCCCGCAGGCCCCACACCACGGCGCTCGGCGGGGTCCGCTCTGGCCCCAGAGCCCCGCCCCCGCCCCCGGCGCCGCTCCCTGGGCCTGTGCGGCACCCCGCGAGGTGCGGAGTTAGTTTGCGCCCCCGCGGCCGGGCGTACTCCGCATGGTGCTGCCCCTGGGCGCAGGCATTCCGAGTCTGAGCCCCCTGGCTCCGCTGCCCCCGCCTCTCAGGGCATTTCTTGCTACCCCTCTTCACGCACAGGGACCCGGTGGGTGGGACCCTGACGGTTTTCCTGGGAAGTCACGCGGCCCAGCCGTCTGTGCAGGCTTCCCGGCGTCCTGGGGACACCGAGGGCACTGCCAGCTGCTCGTGTGCGCCCCCTACGGGCACGACCCTGTGCCTGGCTGGGCGGGAGCAGGGACCTGTTCCGGGGCTTGCTTCGCTCTGTGGTGTTGACAGACTCCTTGCTGAAATGGAATGTGTGCCCCCCAAACACCTTTCTCTGCTTTTAAATGCTGATTAAAATGGGGACCTATAAAGCCAGTCTTGGTTCCTGAGGGTGAGTGGGCTCCATGTTAAGTGCCCTTGTGTTGTTAGGATGAATCAGCTCCCAGTGCTTGTGGATGGAAAGAGGGTCACTCCTGCAGGGATCCGGTTGCCCCCCTGGATTATTGTGCCAGGTTTCTTAGCATGACCTGGAGGAAGGTTGCCACGTGGGGACAAAAGATGCCATCAATTCGGTAGGCCAGACATAGACGCATGAACAGAGGAACGTGTGAGCTAGAAGATCAGCCAAGCCCCTGTTTTACAGAAGGGGAAACCGAGGTCCAGGGAGGGGAGCCACTGTCCAGCATCCTGCAGGGAGTCCACGTCACAGCTCACCTCCCGTAGCCTGACAGGGGCCTGGCGCAGGCCACCCTGACGTCCACTTTCCCAGCGCCTGGGACTTCCAGAGCCACAACTGGCCAACCTGGATAGCAGTTGCCCTACCCACAGTCTCTCCCTCTTCCTATGAAGTCTCCCCAACAGGTTCTAGAAAAAAATGGAAAAGGCAAGGATGTGGAGGCCCAGACTGTTCCATGGGTCCACCAGGGCCACTGCCTAGCTTGGTGGCAGGGTGGTGTGGGTGCCGAAGGCAGCTGCGCCCGGGGCCCCATTTCACTGGGAACATGCCCCCAGGGTCCCTAGTTCAGCCAGTCTTCAACTGCTTTGCACAGCTGTACAAAAGACAACTTAGAAGCGCTCTTGGAGCTATTTAACTGTGATCTCCATAAACATTTCTCTTGATAAATGCCAGGATCCACATGGCATGCACTCTGAGAGACTCTGCTCAGCTGTATGCGCTGGCACACCTTTCTGTTGCTTTGCAGTTGGGGAAGTTCGGGCAGCTCTGTCCCTACGTCTCTGTGTGAACTTGAGCAAGCTCTGTCCCTAAGTCTCTGTGTGACCTTGAGCAAGCTCTGTCCCTAAGTCTCTGTGTGACCTTGAGCAAGCTCCCATTGCTTTCTGAGCCTGGATCCGCCCATGTGCAGTGGACACCTTATTGAGCTGCTCTGAGTAAAGAACAGAGCAAGTGCCTGGCACACAGTAGGCACTCAAGAAAAGGTGCTCTTGTGGCCTGGGGTCCAACTGTTCCTTCCTCCAGGGTGTTGGAAAGCCAACCAGGGAAGAGGCTGGGGCTCTCCATGAGGGGCAGTTTAAGCCTTCTCTCTCCTGGCCCTGACCAGTCCAAAACAACTCTGCTGTTAAATATTTAGCAGCCTCCACTCAGAGGCTTTTCACCAGATCCTCTTTTCTCCTTAAATGATCAGAATGCACTTGAAGATCTGAAGATGCACAAATGTTCTGTGTACAGAGCTGCTCATGTAACAGTGGAGGCTGGGCTCAGGTGGGCGGAAGTAGCCTGGTAGAAGAGGTGAGGGCTGGTAGACAGGGCGCTGGCCTGGGCGTCAGGAGACCGAGGCCCCCGTCCCAGACCTGCTCCCCCATTGCCATGTGACCTAAGAGTATCTGTGTCCCCTCCCTGTGTCTCTCTGTGGCTCCCCATCCGTGAGATGAGCAGGTCAGAGCTGTGAGTCCCAGGGCTCCCTAGAGGTCTGGATTCTTCGAGTCTAGGTTCCTGTGCCCGAGGCAGACAGCAGGCAGCAGTAGCATGGCCTTCACGATGTTTGGTCAGTGAGTCAGGCTTTGGGGAAGGGCTCTCATGCTGATGGGGACTCTGACCCTTGCTGTTCTCAATTCCTGGGTGCTTCCACTTTGTGGCCATTGTGAATAATGCCACTGTGAACATCAGTGTACAAGGATCTGCTCAAGTCTCAGAGATTTTCTAGTCGGGACCTGTTCCCTCCTGCGTCAAATGATGAAATGGAAACCGGAAAGGCTCCATGAAATGAATTGGCTCCTGAAAGGACTAAGGGGGCTAGGAGGCCAAAGGTACATACGTGCCAGTGACCTGCCCCCAAGAACATCAGGGCCTTTCATGTGCCACTGTGTTGGGGCCCAGGGTGCTGTGTGTGCAGCCCTCCTGGACAAAGGCTGCAGTCCTAGGGTCATGGACAGTCTCTGGGGAGAAGTGTTTAAACTGAGCCTGGCAGCCTGTCTGACCCACCAGATTAGGTGCTAATTCTCCAAGGACCAGGGGTCTCAGGGTGGGAGTTTCCAGCCCGGGCTGGCCCTGGAGGGGATGTCTTTGGCAGACGGGTGTGTGGCATCTGCTCTCACCCTCAGTGGCAGGACCCTCAGATCTCAGCTGATCCCCACCACACCTGGACCAGCAGAAGAGCAGGGAGGCCTGTCCCCAACCCTGAACCATGCTGGGAGGTCCGCTCACTGAGCAGTCTACTCCAGAGGGTGAAGACTGGCACCCTGCAGGTGACAGCTGACTCACAGGTGGGTTTCATTCAGCCCACGTAGTATTGGCATTTAAAAAAAGTTAGTTGCCAACATTTGAAAATCAGGAGTTTTTGCTTGAAGTCTAGATTTTTGGTTCCTTTTTAAATCATGCTGGAATAGCTGGTGGCCCTGGGCCTGCTGGCAGTAGCTGCCCTGTTAGATCAGGCATGAAAAGTAGGCCCTCAGGTGTGCTGAGCCCCTAGGCTCAGGTTGGGCCCTGTGGTCCAGTTGATGGCAGAACAGGCACAAGAGCCCTCTCACCACACTTAAATCCCTTTTCAACCAATCAGGAAATGATTCGTAAAATCCTCTGCAAGAAAGAACTTGTTAGCAGACCAGTGCTTAACTGGCAAGAGTGTGGGAGCTGGAGCCAGGCTGCCGTCCCAGTTCCAGCTCTGTGATTCATTAGCTGTGTGACCTTGAGCAAGTTACTCAACCACCCTGTACCTCAGTTCCCTTATCCTTATGATGATAGTAACACTGCTCCCCTCCTGGGATTCTTATGGAGCTTAAAGGCATTGACACTCATACACACTTAGCAAAGTTCCCCAGCCATGGAGAAGAGCAGGGGTGCAGGAAGGGACTGTGGCAGGCATATTCGGAGGCCTTGGAGGTGGCTGAGCACTGACTTACACACGTGTGTGTGAAGCCTGACTCTGCTACCTGTGGCAGCGTGATCTTGGACGACTCATTTAACCCAGTTGCGTGAAGGCCCCTTGGGGGCTCAGAGGCGCTCACAGAGCTGAGGCTCCATGGCTACTGCTAAGTGCTTGCTGCATGCTCTTGGCCGGCTCCCTCAGCAGGCACCCAACTCCCAGCTGGGGAAGGATTCCGATCTGGAAGCTGGGAGACTCACAGTTTCCTTTCTGTTCTTCCAACCTGTAGAGAGGCCCTTTGGGGCCTGTGGGAAGCGCATGGGAGCCCAGCCAGAGTCCCACCCACCGTCTCAGTGAAGGTCAAAGCAGCACAGACTGCCGGAGGAGGGCAGCCCAGCAGGACCCCGTCTGACGTCTCCTTGTCATGTAAATGATGGGGGCCGGGGTGGGAAAGGGACGTGGCAACGGTCCCAGAGCAGATGAAGGGTGGAGCCTCACACAGGGGGCAGAGAGAGGGAGGTCCCACTGCTCCCCTCTCCTATTCCCAGGAGCATTTAGATGTTTAGACTGCAGATATTTGGCCTCTTCTCCAAACAAAGTTGTATATTCTATCATTAAACACACCCACAAGATGCAAAAAGTAAACACTTATCTTGTGGCTTAAATACTAAGAGTATATCTGGACTCTTATAAACCTACTGTGGCATTTAAAAAAATAGCTTATTGAGGCATAATTTACGTACCATGAAATTGATCCTTTTAAACTATAGCTCAGTGATTTTTTTAGTGTGTATGTGTGAATGTGTATTTGTACACATGTGTGTATATGTATGCATGGGCACTACCTAATATTAGAACATGTTCTGCATTCTTTCCCCCACTCCCTGGTAACCATTAATCTACTGTCTTTCTCTGTGGATTTGCCTATTCTAGACAATTCCTATAAGTGGAATCATACAGTATATGGTCTTTTCTGATCAATTTATTTCCCTGAGCGTAACCTTTTCAGGGTTCATGTAGCTTGCCCCTTGCATAAGAACTTCATTCCCTTTTTGGCTGAATTACATTCATTATCTGGACATACCGCACAGTATTTATTCATTTGCCAGATGATGGACGTCTGGTTTGTTCCCACATCTTGGCAATTATGAACAGAGCTTTGCTCCTTCCAGCTCCTGTGGCTGGAGAGCCTGGTACAGTGGGAATGGCAGTCAAGGCTGTGGAGGGAGGCCGGAGCAAGGCCCAGGCAAGCCCACAGGCCTTTGCATTAGGCGAGAGTTTGGACTCTGGACTCCATCCTGAGGCAGTGGGCAGCCTTGGGGAGTTGTTTCAGGGGAAATGCTGGGTAGACGGCTCGCTTCGGAGGTCTCCGCATCACCGAGTCTGGGTCAGCTGCGCCTGGAACCCCGGGGGAGAGGCGGGGAGACTGGTACCGGGGGCCTTTCTCGTACTCATCTCAGCCGTCTCCATGGCGACAGTGGAAGACGGTACAGTTCCTCTGATTTTGTGTTTCAGGCTGGCCTAGACCCTGGCTTCTCCCGCTTCCCTCTGAACACAGAGAGGACTACAGGGTGGGGGAGCAGAGGCAGCCGGGCCCACCGTGTCACCAGCCCGTGCAGCCTTGGCCGCCTGCCCCATCCTCAGCCCCCCATCCTCCACCCCAGGCCGCCCAGGCCCTGCCCGGACCGAGGGGACATCGAGCCGTGCCTCTGGGGGAGAAGAGCTTTCTCCCTGTGTTACGGAAAATACTGAAAAAAATGCCTGGACTGGATCACCGATGGAAAAACCAAGCGGCACTCGGAGGTCTTGGAGTGTTGAGGCTTTATTTCACCCGGCGGC